TGGCAGCAAGTGGATTAAACCAGATTTTAATTCAAATGCAACATGTAAATCAGGATAACGAATACACAATGGCTGATAATAATCAACAATAGGTTCAGTCAATTGTTTCAAACTTCTGTTATCCATGATATCAGAATTAGATAAAGAATTACTAGAAGAAGTGAAATCTACGTTATTGAAAGAACTAGAACGATTAAATCAGTATGCTCAGAAATAGGATCAAGTTCCGTAATTCTACTATAGGGTAACCTACGAGCTGTTCTAGCAGCAAGCAATGTTCTCTCCATTTTAGGATCAAATGCATACAAATCATGAAAATTGGTATTACTCATATTCATGCATCATAGGCACAGGTAGAAAGTAGAGATACTACTGAACATACGAAAATACATGAAACTTATGAAAAATAGCGAAAATAAATATTGAAAAAATATGAAATGATTTTTAAAAATTACGAGATTACCAAACAAAAAGTTTAATCCTATCTAGGAACTCAAAAAATCAAATAATTTTTTTTCAAATATTAAATGAAGAAATTTGGCCAAACTAAGGCCTTTGTTGTGAGGCAAAGCCTCACAAGTTTTGACCAGGAGGTTCGTCTCCTTCAGCTCACCAATTTTCAGGGTGACTAGAGCAAGTCGAACAAGTGCAGAAATACCCGATACGTTATTAAACGGTTGAAAAACAGCAAAAAGGGTTAGTAAACGATAGAATTTTACAAAATTAAGGGTGACCACACTCCCTTTTAAAGAATGAGTTTTGCTCCTCAGAAGGTCGAATTCCTTTAAGAATTGAACTCCTGAGATCGACCTGGGTAAGACAGATATCTTCCCGATCAAAAAAATACCCAAAATATCAAAATAACTAGGAAACTAGGAAAGATTAATAACCTAAATCAATTAAAACACAACCAATCGAAAAATATAAGGTCAACAAAAATACGATCAGAATAAAAAGGGTTAAAATTCAGAAACAAAAAAATTACAAAAACGAAGAAAACCGATGCAATTTTCCCGGCAACGGCGCCAAATTTGACACAAGTTGTCGAACTTGCGCAAACTAAAATAAATCAGGTGTATAAAATATTTGTAGTAAAGGGAAAACCTGAGTCTTCTCTCAAGGAAATTACAAGGATTAAAATCCCTGAATAAAAAATAGAAAATAAAATGGGGGATTTTTGTTTGATTAATCTAGAACATAACGTAAAAATTGGGATTAAATTCGTAAATAAAAACAACCAACCTAAAGTTGAGATTCTTAGGATGTCCTTCCCAGATAAATAGATACCAAAATCGTGACTGACCTTAATTGAATCGGAATCTCTGCATTCAATTAAGAACCCTCTCTAAGCGATCGCCTAGCGTTTGGTAAAATATGATGTTTCTACTCATATAATCGCAGAGTATTAGCTCGTTTGACTTAAGGTCATGGAGTTAATCAATCTGATCATCAATCTGATGATCAATCTCTTTCCATAATCGCAATCTCGTGTCTCAGATTGAATATCCACAATCGACGATATCAATCCGAGTTAGAAAGAAAAATGAATTTGATTAAAGGGGAGGCGCAGATCCTCTAGACTCCTCCATGGAATCCATTACCCTTAGGTTAATTAAAAAGTACTTAGCCTAGCACGGCTAAGATAAACATCATTCAAAATTAAAAAGAAGAAGATGAACAGAAAAGATAAAATTGAATCTTAAGAGAAAACTGTCAATTGTCAAAACTCCAAAACAAAGACTGTCGAATAGTTTCCTAATTTTTCCCTTTTAACCCACATCCAAACCGGGTTAAGGCTCCACTAATTTCGATTTATAATAATAAAAATAAAACTGAATTAAAACTGAATAAAGGGTTTTGAGCCTCAACAACATTGGGTTCTAATTACAACTTAAATCCATAAAATTCTAGCAATTCATTTTTGACTTGGGCTCTAATTTTGACCATCTTTCTGTCCTAATTGGGATTTCATGTCTTCATAGAATTTGTAGCCCTCTGAATTATCTGAAAAACAAAATAAAAGTGAAGTCAATCGGACATCTGTGGAGTGAGATGTAGTCAAAATACTAAATTAACGTAAAATTGGAAATTAATGACGAAAATATATTAAACCCAATAAACAACCAAAAATCTAATTTAACCCAAAAGACCATTATTTTCATTCCAAATAATCTTAAAATACTAATCAAGAGTGATAAATAAATGTAATAAAATATCCAATATCAGTCTTACCCCCTCTTGGTGTCTTTACTAGAGACCGAACATAGTTGAAATATAAGTAATCCACCTCATGGTTCATAGCTATAAGCAACACTTTATCAACAACATCTTCTAGTACATTATCGTAACTAGTGGGATCAATGTCACTCAACAAGAGATATCTTGAGTTAACAAGGTTCTCTTCCACTATAAACGTATCGCACTAGATCTTGTGTATCCACAGGTAGATCCAAGTTTTGATGAGATGGTGGATCTTCAATTTCTTGATGATCGATATATTACGTGTTAACAAATCCTTGATATTGTTCTTCTATATATGATACTAATATTTTTAATAGTTCTACTTATATATTATCATGTTGAATTTTCAATTATGGTTCCCGTGTTTGTTCATCTAGGTGGCGTTTGGTAGAGGAGATATATTTTTTTACCAGATAAATGCAATTACCAGGAATATGGTAGGAAAGTAAGTTTGGTAGGAAAGTTTAAAAAAAAGTTGTTTGGTTGGCCAAAATTTTACCAAAAAAATTGGGTTAAATTTTGTGAATCTTTGTTTGGTTGAAGGTAAAATAATGATGGAAAAAAGGGTTAGAAAGACGAAAATAACCCTTATAATTAAATTGGAGGGTATATCTGTGTGCAGTTTTTCGTCCACTTTTTTCGTCACGCTTGTCGTCATTTTTTGCGCAGATGTAGTCAGGGTAATATAGACACGTTTTTGGTCCACTTTTTCTCATTTACCCAGTTTTCTGCAAATACCACATCGGAAGTGGTAAACTTGAACAGTGTAAATCTTTCCTTTTTGCATATGATTCTGAAATGCTAGAGAAAAGAGTTTGCAGGATAAATTTTTATATTTCTTCTACCAAACAAAGACAACATGGAATGCCAAACTCAGATGGATGGGGATCTAAACAAAATAAACCCGAATCAAACACTACCCTAGAGGTATATCTTTCCCTCTTTGAACAATCAAGGGAACAGAGGTTGGAGCTTCTAAAGATCCCAAAAAATCTTGATCTGAGATAAGTCTCATTAAGAATAACTTTACTCATGGGCTTAAAATTTCCTTATAGTCTGTCTATAAGAAAGTCACGTGAGTGCTCACTAAGAGCATCTTATCCCAATCTTTGGTTCTCTTAGAGTAGCCAAATGATATGTATACTTTCGTACAAGATTCCATCTTATTTTGTCGCTGTTGTAAGATGTGTATTGGAGCACCCTAAATTTGATTATGGTTGAAACTGGGCTTGCACCATTTTCTTAATTCAATATGTGTCTTTACAATAAACTTTGATGGTATTAGGTTAAGAAGGTACATTGTCTTCTCCTAAGTATCTCATCATAATGAAATTGACAAGAATGAATAACTGAACATGAACTTTACAAAGTCTAGAAATGTTTATTTTCTGCATTCTGCAACTTTGTTCAACTATTGTGTTCCTAGAGTTGACAGTTGTGAAAACTATCCTCTCTTGCATCAGGTAAAACCTGAACTTTCAAACAAGTATTTACCACCGTAGTTAGATTGAAGTATTTTGATTTGAATACCTAAATACTTTTTTTCTTTAGACTTAAGACGCACTAGGTTCACATGTCTAAATCCAAAATAATCATTAATATAATGAAGTAATCGTAACCTCTTCAATTTATTGCTTGAACCAGATTAATGAGCAGATTTTTGGGTCAATCAGGTTAGACCGGTTTTAATATCAATGATATTAACATGTATAAGACATCGTATAAAAGTAAAAAAAATTACAAATATTCAAATACTTTATATTTAAACATATCACACAAAAGACAGAGAACAATTGGATTGTCCTGAAAGAAATTAATCTCGTACCACGGAGAAAATCAGGGCACGAAGCAGGACTGGCCCAGTAAATATCTGTACGAGGTGAAAGAAAAAGTAAGTACATAATTTACTTGAAGCACTGGGCACCAACAGTATTTCATGTCATGTATTTCTTTCTCTTTCTGTCATTTTGAGGAGCAGGAAAAAGAAAATGAGAAGTGACATGTGAGAATTACAGGTCTAGAATCTAGGATGAATGAAAGAAGGGATAGGATGTTTGTCCCACGTGCTTCCAATGCGGCTGTTGGAAGCTGATGCTGTCACCTACTACTAACTCACCCTCCAACATGTTCACTGTCTTTGCTTCACGCAAACCCTCTTCTTTCCCCCCTTCCCTATATTTTTCCCTTCTTACTAGTACTTGCGTGGCTTTAAAGTTTCTTTCTTTTTGAACCAAATTCATTCACTCTTACACAAACACACACCCCACAACACACTATTAAGTCTAATAATAATATAAACTTAAATAAATCAAAAAAAATGTACTAAAGCCAAATTAAAAATAAACCAACTATACCACCACTAAGTACATAATTAAATTAACTATGACGAGTTATTCCAGCTTAATCAATGATATTGAATTAGAGACAAAAAAAATTTTGCTGGTATTGTAATCTTATCTTACTTAATTGAATTAGTCGAGTAATCCATCAATCATTAGAAAAATCTAAAAATAAAAAAAAAACAAATTAAACAAACTATAGCTACTAGTCTATGTCCATGTCAAGTGAGTGACCCACCACCAAAAGCACCCACTTATTCATTCAATATCAAAATCAAGTTAACAAGTAACAAACAAAGCCCTTCATCTATCTCCTTGCATCTCTATTATCTGTCTTTATTTGTGACCCACAAGGATTTGGTTGAACCTTGGACAAGAAAAATATTAGGGGGTGCAAGAGAAAGCTTAGAAAGAGAGAGGATGGATTGTGGAGGTAAAATTGGTGGAAGTGAAAGAAGTGGGCCTTGTGGTGCTTGCAAATTCCTGAGGAGAAAGTGTGTGAAGGGTTGCATATTTGCACCATACTTTGACCCTGACCAAGGAACTGCTCATTTTGCTGCTGTGCATAAGGTTTTTGGTGCTAGCAATGCCTCTAAGTTACTCATGCGTATCCCAGTTCATAAACGTCTTGATGCTGTTGTTACTCTCTGCTATGAGGCTCTGGCTAGGGTTAGAGACCCTGTTTATGGTTGTGTTGGTCACATCTTTGCTCTTCAACAACAGGTATTAATATATATGACTCCAATTTCCTTTTTCCCTTCTTCATTGTTTTGATCTTTTCCATTTCCTCATTTTCCTTCTTTTTCTTTTTGCTTGTGGCTAACTTATTGGTAACAAGAGATTTTAAAACGGGTTAAAAAATTATATATAGAAGCAAATCCTGCAAGGGTTTTCATTTGTTGCATTAATTTCTCAATAGACACCAAGTAATATGTTGAAGAAGTGAAGAGAATGTGGGAAAAGTTGAAAGGCGAATGATAAAAAGTCTATAAGAATATATAAGTTTAGAAGACTCATAACTTAAAGGTTGGAATATGGTGATGAATTCATTTATATTGTTATTTTTTCCATTGATAGAGATCTTGTGTGCTTAATAATATTATCCCTAGTTACAACCTCTTTGATAGTTCTTTCTCTCTATTAATAATCATTCTATTTATTTTGTTACTTTTCATTTTCAAACTATAAACCATGAATAGGTATCAAACCGAATTTGTGGGAATATACTAATGCTAACTTGCTTATATGTTCTTGAATCCTGAGTTCTTATATTTCTCCTTGTATATGGTAGATATCAATCATTTACTGTTCCATTATGTTTGGATTCTTTTAATTAAACTGGATTAATGCTCATGAAAGAAGAAAAAAAAAGGGTTAATTAATGCATATAATTAATCACTGCTAGTGATCATGCTAACATGCGCCTGGGGTGTGAAGTCTTGTAAATTGTACTCTCTCTTGTGTAGTCGATTGACAAGTATCACTGTTTTGCTTTCCTCGTAGGTCAAGATCTTCCCATTTAGGATATAATAGTATGAACTATGCACTGTTTGCTTTGACACGTTTGTTAGCTTTGGCCTTGTTTTCTATGGAAGTCATACACTAGCTACTTAATTAATTAGGGTACCCCTATATCAGTGTAGGTAGGTTTTGTGATTTCAAGGTCTATGGCCCATGTGTACATAATGCAATACATGTTATTTTAAAATTTTATTTAAAATGGAAAATTAATTAATTTTTTTGAGTTTTTTAAAATAAAAATTAATTTGAAATAAACTAATAACTTCTTTGTTCTAAAATAATTATAAAAATTAATTTGTGTATACTAATAACTAATGCCATATGTTATGGTATGCAAATTCTATCTAAAAGGGTTAAGTGATTAGCTTTAGCATAAAAAATTGGGTATCTGAACTCTATGTGTTGTGGAAATTAGGTTTGTCAATGAATAAACTTTGTGAAATTCATGTTATATTGCAATTTTTTAAGAAAGAGAGGGACGGTGGTGGCAGCCGCCAAGTGGGTGTGGCTGACTATGGAGGCTTGTTTGTTGCTTGTCGGAGCTACAAAGCAACGCAATTAGCAGCTCGAGAAATATTCAAATATTTTTAGTATTGACTTTCAATCTATTGCTACACATAGTTTATGGTACACATATTTGTATATTAGCAAATAGTAATCAATCTTCACAATATATTAAATTAACTACAAAAATAATGGATCTATGAAGCTTCACGTGAACATTGGAATAGTCCCTTTATATTTAATTTGTGAGAAAATTTTAGTCTAACCTTAGGAATTAGGATGTTGACCCAATGGGTGCAGCTCAATTGGTAATTTGGCGCTGAGTTAGTGGGGTTGGATATGTGTTCGATTCCCGCTGAATGCATTCTTGGAGAGGGGGCTGAACCTTTAGCCATCACTGTTCCCTCGCACTCCGGATTAGTCTCATAGCCGGCTCAAAGAGTCGAAGCTCGTGGGGATACCGGAGGGAGCCAACTCGTCTCAAAGAGATAATTAGGGTTGGGTAACTCCAAATTAAAAAAAAAAAAAAGAATTAGGATGTTGAGTCTTTCGGATATCCCCTCCATGGATTATTATTTTAACCATTATTAATATTTCTCTTTGTACTTGAAATTTGGTGAAGTTAATAACTTTTTAATATAATCAATAATAATAGTATAGAGTCTTTAAGGATTTCGCGAGTGTCATAGACCCTATGAAAAAAATTGAAAATTCATATGTCTGTTCTGGATTCATGTAATGAACCTCTTTTTTAGTCATTAGAAATGAATATTATCCACCCCTGGTAAAATCTCTTATAAATAAAGTGTTAAGCCTCATAATATTGACGGGGCCATATTAGGGAGGGCAAGGTCTTGGCCGGAGTTAATTTTTGAAAATTAATCATATTTTAAAAGTGGCTAAATCATCGTAATTAATTTGCTGGCTGATTTTAAAAAATTAGGCACATTTTAGACGTGACTAAATAACCTTAACTAGATTTGGCATAGGCTAAATTTTTTTGACCCTAAGTGGGTTGCTATGCTGGCTCTGTCACTGTCTCATAAGTCATAAGTATTTTTCTTAAAATCCTAATCTCTTTAATAACTGTGCGCACACACTCCCCTAAGCTTTCAACCCCTTATTTATATATAGTGATCTGTCATCACACATTGAGTCCTTCATAAACACCACTAATTCACATGTCGAAAAGCAATTCTCATCCACAAAGATCAGACAATGCATGTATTCATATTTGACACTGTATTATATTTTATATAAATCAACTATATAATTTCATAAATGTATTATCAGAATAAAAGACCACAAGGACTTTCAATGAACATAAATTGATAAATTTAATTTATTAAATGCATATTATTTGATGCAGCTTGTAAGAACCTACCAGTTTCTAATGTTGCTTTGGCCAGTCTATGGGCTATGGTATGAATGATTATTGATTGATGTAAATACTAGATAAAGTTGCATTATCTTAGGCGTGACACATTAGCAACAAACTTTTCCTTTTCGTTGAGAATGGATTTAATGTAATTAAATTCTAAGATGCAATATTTACCAAAAAAAAAAAATTCTAAGATGCAATAATTGAGTGGCAGAGCCTCTGTACATATTCATGCATGCAACCTGTGATTAACCAGAGGAATTAGTAATTTAACACTTGCACACAGTACATTGGCACTATAATATTTATTTTTTTTGTAGCCATTATTGGGCAGATATACACCAACGGATTCCTTAACTTTAATTAGGCAGAATTCCATTATCTATGTGTTTAGTTACCAAATTACGAATAATCCCTTCTAGATTCTCTGCCCCATGAGAGAGAAAGGAAAAGTTGTTTGGATAAGATTGATTGTCTTCTCTGCTGCAATTGAACAAGCAGCAAAAGGAATATTAAAAGTTTGGGTAAAGATTTTCTTCTATTAACGGAGATAAGTTATCTCCGATGAGTCTAAAATGATGTTATTTTGAGACGAAAATTAAGGTGTTTTTATAATTCTAAAATATTGTAGGGTTATATTAGTCTTTATCATTATAATTTTTTAATTTTATAACCCAAAACGACATCTTGAAAAAATACGTTTTCCTAAAAGTTTTAATATTAAACTTTAAGAATAAATGAGAATATTCTTCACATGCGTGTAGATAATATAGATGTTGGAGTATTCCAAAATGTATTAAAAATCCCGGGTACTTGATGCTCGTAAGAGGGCATAATCTCTATGTTTATCTCTGACATTTCTATACTTTTTGTCTGCTTTATGATTGGGTAAAAGCTATTTTGACTCAGTTATTTTCTTTCCTCAGAAAATTTTCTCTCTTGATTTGGCTACAGAAATGTTAACTTATCAGATATTATTCATAATACCTATACATAGTAAATAATTTATTTGAGGTGCAACTTATAAGTAATGTTTCCCTTTATTATAATTGGGTAAGAATTTCACAGCCCTTTCATATAATATAGTAGTAGCAGAAGAAAAAAAAAAGTTTAGTGAAAAACAGAGTTTCTTAAGGCTATATTTATACTTTATTATCACAATATAATTGTATACCCTAATACCCGTTAGATTTATGAACAAAGTTTAAACAAGCCACTGGTTGAAATATGTGTATTTTCAGAATCTACAACACAAATGATATGAGCATAGATTGATAGGGACATATGGTGTTTAGGGTGTAGATTGATGCAGTTATCAATTACTTTGAATTTGATGGTTACATATATTTGTTTTAGTTGTATATTATGATATTATCATGATTAGTGATTTGACGTGTGGGTGAAAATAAAATGTCAACCCGTAAATGGGGATGGTAAGCTCAGTATTCAATGAACTAGAGTATTTAGAATGAGAACTCAGGCAATTATGTGGGCATTTGGATGAGTTTTTTTTTTAAAGAAGTTACTTTTTTTATAAAAAAAAAGAAAAAGAAAAGAAAGTTCTTTCGAAAAATTTTATATGTTTGAATTGTAACTTTTAGAAAAAGCAAAATTAAAAAAAGAGAGTTAAATAATACTTTTTTTAGAAGTTAGGATTCTTTACTTCTAAAAAAACCATAAGTTAAAAGTTAAATATTTTTTTTAAAAATCTAATTTTATCTTAACCCCAATCCAATCACTTCACCCTACTACCACCATTATCAAATATATATAAAGTATTTATTAATTTTAACATCCAAATAATTTTTTATAAAAATACATTTTATGTGGTTGATCCAAACATAAAATAATCTTCGATGCTGACTTAGTGGGTTTGGACATGTATTCGATTCCCTTTGAATGCATCCTTGGGAAGGGGGCTGAACCTTTAGCCATTACTGACCCCCGCACTCCGGATTAATCACGTTGCCGGCTCAAAGAGTTAAAGCCGTGGAGAAACCGGAGGGAGCCAACCCGTCTCGAAGAGATAATTAGGGTTGGGTACCTCTAAAAAAAAATAAAAATTCATTCTAAAAATGTAAGCCATAGAAAGTCATTTTTTTAAATGTCCATGCAAACGAGACAATATGGAGAGGATTCGTGAAGCCCTTTTCACATAGGAAGAAGGGAGTATGATCCCAAAATCATTACCCGGTGAGGCCCACATGCAAGGGTAACCAGTTCATACCTCATCACATGATGAGTTGAGTGTGCATGGAAATGAAGAAAAAAGTAAATATGGTGTGGTAGAGTGCAGTCTTGTAGTGAGACAGATGATATAGGCCTTGGACTAGGCCCAAAGCCCCTCGTCCATAACAATGAGTACTTTAAGTTGTTACCCAATATGTTAGCATTGTCATTTGTAAATAAATAGTGTTTTGTAACTAGTAAATTGCACAAACTAGAGAGATGACAAACTCCAATATCTAAAACGTATAGCAGTTAATTAAGCTTGTTTTATAATGCCATAGCCAGGTAGAACACGAAATGATTTGTTAGCTATGAATTTGTGAGACACATGCAGGTCATGAACTTGCAGGCAGAGTTAACATATGTTCAGGCCCGTCTTGCCACCATGCAGCGCCTACCAATCCCAGTAGCTCCTCCTCCTCTTCCACACCTTCAAAGTTCTTCACCAACAAGTCTTCATTCTTCCTCAGATCACTTGGCATCAAATGCTGACATGCAAATTGCCTCTAACATATCCATGCACTTTGATCCTCTCCAACCACATTCAACATCATTTGACTTAAGCAGCTTTTTCAATCCATCAGATCAACAACTCGAGGATGGGGAACTCCGTGTTTTGGCTCGAGAATTTGTGTCCAGGTACTTGCCTGGAGTAAGATTCCAGCCACCTAATTCTCACTGAGGTTTTATCTTCTTGTATTTTGATGCCAATGCTTTTGTTTATCCTTTCTAAGGGAATTGTAACTTTGCTTAATTTGCGGATCCTGTTGCTTGTGGTACCTAATAGTTAAATCTGTACTAGTGGAAGAGTGAGTAGTACTTTTCAACATGAAAAATTATGTAACAAGACCAGAGGCTCCTCCCTCTTTCTTTGACTAGGAAATTTTCCACTTCGTAATCCGACATATATATAATATAATGCTTACGCGCGATGAAATTAACCATGCAATGTTCTATCACGCGCTTAATTAATGATTGTCTGGTTATACATAGATTCTGAAACATCCAGATAGCATCAGGTTCGTATTACTTTTCTTGTCTAAAATTATTGTGTATATATATACACTTGCCCAAAACTTTTAACTTCAGTCTATAAAGCTTAAACCTAATATCATAATAAAGCTTAAAACAAATTAAATTTATTTGTTTATTATTTAACATGTCAAACTTTGAAAGTTAACAGATAACTCAATCCAATTATACTCCTGGTAAGGAGCTTAATTAGCCATATGACCCACAAATGACTATTTTTGTTGTAGTTACATTAAATTTAAATCACGTAAACACCTGTTAAGGAACCGAAATTAAAGACAACCTTATGGAACAATATCCATGTCCAGCGGTGAAATGTTCCATGATTGATACTGAAGAAACATTACTTAGTTCCATGAAGCTTTTCGATCATGTCTGCTGTTACTACACCAAGTTCATCACAAACTTCTAAAGAATCGGAGTTACGTAAAAGTACCAATATCAACTGAGAAACACTTTTTTCTAAACCGCTGCAATAAATGTTTTTGCTCAAAGCACTCACTTATAACCACCACACCAAATTAGCCACTAAAGACTAACAATATCAACTGTAAAACCCGTAAAGATGAAATGCCAAACACTACAATTAAGAACCAAAAATTATCCACTAAAGCAGTGTCTTATTTTTTGGAACTGTACCAAAGCACAATCGTTAAACACAGCAAAAAAATACAAAATAGCCATCTTGAGCGGTTCTGTTTATGAGAATATTAGAGACCAAGTTCATAAATACCACCAACGATGAACTGCTGAAATTTGTTGATATATAAATTATGTAAAAATGCCTCGGAGACTCCACAAATCAATGCATGACACCTGTAGTTGTTAGTATTGTAGATCACATGTTAATTTTTTTTCTAAAATGTGTAAATAGTGTATCATATTGTATATGGTATCCTAAGATAAAGGGCAAATCCCAATTCACAATAGTCCCAGACATTGTGAGAGTGGCGTCAATTGTACACAGTTCTCCCAGACTCAAGACCCATAATATTCCGATCACAAAGAAACAACCTTACCATTATTCTAAGGCTCCCCAACTATATGAGGGTAGAGATAAGGGTCGATTATATACAAATTTACCCTTATAGTTTTGTAAAGAGGTTGTTTATGAGATTTACACCTATGACCTTTCTTCCAATCACAGAGAAACAACCTTCCATATTGTGTCTTGAGATATTTTAGACAAATAAAAACTATGAACATAAAATCATTTGTATCATTAAGTTTACAAATTAAACTTTTCGAAAATTTTAAGCTTTAAATTTTCTCTATGATAACAAGCCCAAAAAAAAAAAAAACTAAGGCATCATTTTCCAGTGTAAGCACTTTACTTTTTTTATTTCATATCTTCTAATTTTATTTTTATATTTAAGTTATTTTTTAAAGTTAATTAAAAAAATTCATATCTTTGAATTTTTCTTACAACAGCCATGTCTTGTTAAGTGTCAAGCAATGCCTGGACGTTTCCAAACTGGCCAAAAATAATTTTTTAATTGGACAACGTTTGAACAGTGTCCACTTGTATGGGTGTCCAAGGAGTTTCAGACTCGAATGCATGTACAACATTCTGATACTTGCAAAACGAGCATTATGATACATGCATTCAACATAAGAATAGGTAAAACATAACAAAATAACTCTTCATTCTCTGTATTAGAAATGCCAATTTCCCATTTGATCCGTTGCACGAGACTCGAGAGTGATAGACACTGGTCATATAACTAGGATACATGCCTTCATGCCTTCACAGTAGAAGAGAACAAAAGACAAGAAAATTCTGAACTCTAGCAAAGCAGAACGACACAACAGCAAGGGCCAGAGATGAACAATTCCCTAATCAGAGTTATAACTACAGCAAAACAAAGCCAAGAAAAGAACCTACTTTGGTCTAAGGTCTTAAGTTACTTCTTTCTTGTCAAAGCTGATTAAGAATATCTAAGTCGTGGGACAGAGATTACTTGATGACAAAAAGGAAAAGATGGGTGTGAGTGTGACTTTTTGCTTCTCAATTTTTTTTCTCATAATTATTAGCCAAATCAAAGCATGACTGCATCTGTTTGCTTCCCGTCAAAGGGTATGATTGATGGCTTTTACATGTTTTGTCATGTTTAAAAATATCAGATGGTACACATGTATCAACTGTTACACATACAGTCTCTTACCATATTCTTATGAGGACAATAGAATTTCAATAATTATCTAAAATTTCAAATCCTGTTTTCCCCACACACACACATATTATGATGACGCCTCAAAGCTATAAAGTCTATGGTTGCTAGACATTGGACCACATATACCATTATGTTCTAACAGTTGTAAGTAGCAGAATATTCAAGAGCACAACTTGGAATACCAAGTAACAACAAATCAAATTCTCTGCATAGTGTATATTGACTCAACATGATGAAATCTTAAGAGCATAATTACTATTATAAATATTAAGAATCATAAGGTAAAGCCACAAAGGAAGAATACGAAAAAAATTCCTAAAGATTTAAAAAAATGCAAGAGAATGTACTACCAGAGAGATTCAGGACTTGAAAACTGACCATGTCTCACACTGTGATGAATACAAACACAATGAAAACAAGGTGCAGATTGAATGAACCAGCCCACTATCTATATATGAAGGCATACCTATTTTAAGGCTATACCATGATCTTCTTGGTCCTTGCAGTGTCTGGCATCTTACTCCAGATTAGTTGCCTTCAGAGCCAATGGAAATTAAGCAAGAAAGATGGAAATTATAATTAGCCACTAAAAAGGATATTAGCTATAAAACAAAAAACGAAAGGTATTTTTATTTAACCCGTATTCAACTAGTCCTACTCCTAAATATTAACTCCAACGCAAAGGTGAAAATTGTGACTCTCAGAACTAACTATTGGAAGCCCACACATAATCTAAGGTTAATAATGTCTTGAATACCTCCTTATATGGAGAAGGCAGTGAGATGTGTATTAAAAGCATCATCATATGTGCATAGTATGTTAATTGATCTATTAATATTATCAGTTGAATAAAAATCATGGAAGGAACGAGCTCAGACTTATTGTAAAATTCAATCTCAAGTATTTGACTTTTGCCCAAACAACGAATAATGATATATATTTATGCCCACCCAAGAAGACCATGAAATTTCCAATTTTATGTATGTAGTCAATGTATAGATTTGGATATTACAAGATATATGGTGCACCTGCCTCAAAACTATTATTTTATTTGTCAGACTATCATGTATCAAGCATATATTATAGCATTTTTTATAGAAGCCACAGTAAGAGAAAGGGGGGAGAGGGGAAATAATCTGTAAGCACCGTGCATCATAATTTTGTAGTTCCAAAAAGGGCAGAAACTGGTTGTACCTGAAGACATGTGTGCTTGTCAAAAACCTCCAATCTTCAATTCGGTGTAAAAGTAATCACCAAAAAAGTGCCACAATGAATTAAAAAGTGGGGCTGAGCTACTGATGATATGTTGGGTTGTCTCACCCCTATGGAATAGCAATTGGTAATCTTCACATCGAACCCAAAGCCAAATGATCTTTAACATATAAAAAATGAGTAAATATGAAAAGCAAATGGTTAAGGAGTAAAGCACATACATGTCATAGAGAAAAAGTTGAAACACACCACAGTTCAATATGGAAATAAATCACCAATAGTTCGTCATAATACATACAAAGATCTCTAAGTTCAAAAAAGATTACTGAAAACACTGATGTTCATTATAAGAAGGTCCAGGATAAAAAATCTGAAGGCCTAGAACAAGGTTAACAGATGTAGTCATACTCAAAACAAAGTTATGTGCAAGAAGCATAACTGTTATACTTTACAGAACCACACGCAATAAATACACCTAAAAGGCATATGAGCGGCTCCAATCTTCTGTATACATAAATGTACAATCCCACTTCTATTTGCCGGAAGGGGTAAATATGCTTGATGGAATTGGTTCTCTAAGTTAGAGTGGATTAACTTTGATGTTCATGGCACTATAAAATCTCTCCATGACGGAATCCACTATCCCCACAATCTGCACCTGTATCCAAAGCACAAGGAGAATCATACCATTTAGGATTGTCTTGGTAGAAACTATCAACCTGTATACAGCCGAGGCCTACATCTGAAACTATAGCCTCGTCATGTCTTATGGGCTTGGTTAGTTTAGTATCCTCACAATCAAGGATGCTTTTTGCGTCAAAGTCACTGCATTTCAACCACTTTTCAGGCTTACAAGTTTCACTAATCAAATCTTTCTGACTTCTGCAATCTGTCCTCATATGGTCCCAAGAAACTACTTCTCCTAGAGTGCGGCCAAAACTATCTTCGTCATCCTCAATCAGCTCTGTGTCCTTGCCATCCACATAAATCCTTTCATGGTGGTGATTACTCCAATTTGCCAGATCATTATCCCCAACCAAGACATCATCTGCATGTGACTTATCAGCGAGTAGCCCAATCGGCTTCAAACCCACTTCCCCTATATTTCTAATTTTATTAACAATATCAAACAATTCCCGAGAAACTGAACCCAACAATTCACGCGGGATTTTCGAAACTTTCCCTTCCAACATCCCAACTTCAGCTCTCAATTCCTGCACCTGCTGCAAAACCGAAAACTGCAAATCTCCTCCTTCATCTTTCCCCATCAACCCAAACCCATCATTCTCCATCTCCTCACTCACCCCATACACCGTTTCCTGATCCATCAGATAGCTACCTTTGTGCCCAACAACCCGATGCATAATCCTGGCATTCCCATCCAACGGCCCCGGCTCATGCCCCGAATGCACGGCATACAACTTGAAAATCGCCATCCCCTCTTCTTGATACACAAAACTCTTATCCTTCTCATTATAATTAGCAATGGGAACAATAGCCCTAATCCGAAAACCGCACCCGCAGCGCTTCGAAGCATAGGGCTCCCTCTTCAAAATCTTTGATTTCTTCGCAGCAGGCTCCCCTGCGCGGTGACAAGCATAATCCTTCACCTCAGCCATAAAGGGCTTATACCTAATATACTTCTGCCTGATGCAAAGCACAACCTTATGCTTAGCAGCCAACTGCTGAAGCCTATTAGGTACCTCCTTAGCAGGCACATCAAAAGACTCAGTATACTCAAACCTACGCCTCTTACTCCTGGCCGCCGCGGCGGATCCGGAGGTGGCCGCGGAGCACACGGGGCACGCGGCCACGCAAACCCTAATGTAACTCTCAGGGATACCATAGAACTTAGCACCCACAGTCCAAACCTGCTTAATCCTCTCTATAGTTTCCTTAAGCCCTAAGTGTTTCAAATCAGTGTCACTATGGAAACTCATCACAATGTCTTGCCACTGGTTAACATGGGAAACGAATTGCTGAGGATTGTTCTTGAAACACAGGAATTGGTTACCGTTCTCGTCGACGTGCACGGCGAGCTTGTCCTGGATGCGCTTCCACGCGGTGAGGTAGGCGGTCTCCTCGTTGCGGTCCTTCCAAACGTGGCGCCACGAGTCGAGGACGGTCGGCGGCGTGGCGGCGCGGATCTCGGCGGTGGTGGCGAGGCGGCGTTCGAGGAGGCAGAGGATCATGAGGGAGTGGGAGTCCGGGTTGAAGGTGTAGAATTGGGAGGAGATGTGGGGTTGAGGGCTTATGAAGAGGGGTTTGGTTGTTGTGGTGGTGGTGGTTGAGGGAGGGTGACTCGGTGGTGGGTGAGTCGGTGGTGAGTCGGAGGATGAGTGACTCGGGGGTGAGTCAGAGGAAGAAGAAGGGAAGAGAACGATTTCGGGGAGAGAGAAAGAAGGGTCAGTGTTTGTGAGGATCTGAGGGTGTGGGTCCAGATCGTGTGGGAGGAAGAGATCTTCTTCCTCTCTTTTGCTTGAATTCATGGGATAAGAGAGTGAATGTGTTGTGCAAAGAGGAGGAGGAAGAAGAAGAAGAAGAAAGTGAAAAAAATGGGAAAGTGAATAGTTGCTTTATCTATGTGTGTGTTTGTGTGTGTCTATTTGTGTCTCTAAGGTTTTGTGTTTGTTTGTCAAGTCTCTCTCTGTGTGTGTCTATTTCTCTCTCACATTTCGCTTTTTGAGGAGATGGACTCATCAACCCTTCAACCCCTTCTCTTTCTCTTTCTCTCTCTTCTTTATGTTTATTTAATTTGTTTTGTTTTAATTTGTTTTGTTTCTCATGGTCTGTGTAACCTACTAACCTTCATCACAACCTCACCTTCTTCTAAAAATGGAAATCATATTATGATGTTAGATGAGATTACTCTATTATATTATACTCATATTGAATAATATGTTTTTTTTTTTTTAAACCGATGGGCTCCATTTCATTTATGTTAATAGGAGATAAAAAAAATATGAATTTAATGTTTTTTATATTATATACATATAGAAGTATATGGGTCATGTGAAGAGAATATTATATAAAAAATGAAATGGAGATATTAAAAAATATAAAATTATTATATAAAATTACATTTATAAGATAATTTTATCTTTTACAATATAAAAAATATTATATAAAAAATACTGCTACTTACCTTTATTATCTTATTAAAGCTATCACATATTTGAGTTCATGTGAGATATTATTAGCAAAAAATGTTTGTCTTTTTATATGACACAACTTATATTATTTTACTCTTACAAAGATGTGGGATCCACACTTTTATTTCTTTTTGTCCACTCTCTTCTTTTTTATCTATCTATTTCTCTCATTTAAAATGACACACATTTTTTTTCATGTTATTAATATATAAGTGTTTCTTTTATTGTTAAACTTGGTTCAACTTTCGTGTATAGCGATAAGTGTGGAACTAACACGACCGTGGATCCATTAATTTATATGTGTATAAAAAATAAATTATTTTTTATTTGTATGAAAAAATTTAATTTGTAATTTATATATATTTATATAATCTCACAATAAACCTTAAACGAGATTTATAATTTTTTTATCTCTAATTTAAATTTCTTATCCAATCTATATATTTAAGTAATTTTATTATAATTCCTAAATGAAGTTTTTAAAATTTTATGAGGTGTGTTATTTTTAATTTAAATTTTTGTTCAATTTGCAGTGTTATTAAGGGCCCGTTTGGATGAGCTTTTTTTCCAAAAACAGCTTTTTTTAAGACAAAAAGCACTTCTCGTTTTTAGTTCGTTTGGACGTTTGTTTTTTAAAAAAATAAAAGTCACAAAAAAAGTCAAAAACCTATTTTTTTTCAAAAGCTAAAAAATTTAACTTCTAAAAAAAGCAGAAGTCAAAACCCAAATTTTTTTTCAAAAACTAAATATTTTTATAAAAATATAAATAGTTTTAACTTTTGAAAAAATTTCTTTTAAAATAAAAAAGTGATAAAAATTACTTTTTTTTAAAGTTTAAACAAACGACCTCTTAAAGTGGTGGTCGGACCTGGAAAATAAGTAAACCGGTCAAAAACCAAGGTTTGTTAGTTGAAGCGATTTTGAAATTGTGACAAAATATTCTATTACACTTTCACGTTTAGGATTCAATCTTGCACCTAAGGACAGGGAGGAAACTTGCTATCTACTAGGGTAATGTTTGGTTCAGGAGAAATTTTATTTTACTAGGAAAATGTAATTGATAGGAAAATGGAAGGAAAGTAAGTTTGGTAGGAAAGTTTAAAAAAAGTTATTTGGTACCTCAAAATATTGATGGGAAAATTGGGTTAAAAATCCTGATGTATGTTTGGTTGAAAATAAGAAATAGATGGGAAAAAAAGTTAAAATTACGAAAGTAACCTTTTTATTAAAATTTTGAAATGTTAAAGTGTGAAGCGGAAGTATTGTATGATGTTCATGCCGTAACCTTGGCTTTCTCCAAGCGCATGATTAAAGAGCCCCACCCTCCCCTCACTGACCTGGCACTCATTCATTGGCCCATTCCATCTCGTCGGGATTCATACCAACACACCAATAAACAATAGCATTCATCCCTTCTTTCTCTATCTGTGTTTTTCTCTTTGCCGAATTTCTCATAAAAAATTTGTGTTCTTTCATGGTGGCTTCATCCCTTCTCTCTATCTGTGTTTTTTCTCTCTGCAGAATTTCCCAAATTTTTTGTGCTCTTTCATGGTGGCTTCATCCCTTCTCTCTCTATCTGTTTTTTTCTCTCTCCAGATTTTCCCAAATTTTTTGTGCTCTTTCATGGTGGCTTCTCCCAGTTGCAGAGCTGTGGAGATAGCAGCGAAGAGGAGGGATAAAAAGAGGGGTAAATTTGTCACATTTTTCATCCCCTTTTCAATTTGTCCGGTATTCAAAACAATACCATCATCTGAGAGTGCTTCTGAAATAGTGAAAAACTCATTTTTTACACGCATATGTGGATAGATGGGGAAGCAAGTTTGATGGAGAAATTTCATGATATCCTTTAACCAAACGTGGAAAAATGAGATACCCAGATGCACTTTGCTGGGATAGTGAGGAGAAGTCTCGAATCAAACACGACCTAGAGCATAATTATATATTTATTATATATTTTTATATAAATTCAATTTATGCAGTTTAACTAGTAATTCATTGATCTGTATCCCCATCGAGTTAAACCGGTTCAGGTTTAATAACATTGATGAAGTATTTTTTTTTTAATTTAAATTTTTATTCAATTAATATATTTATTTAATTTCACAATAAAACCTAAATTTAGGTTTATATATCTTTCTCTAATTTAAACTTTTGATATATATATATATATATATATATATATATATATATATATATATATATATATATATATATTTATTTATTTATATTAATGATTGGAATATAAGCTGCACTTTTTCAATTCATATTTTTTTAAATTAGTGACATGTAGATTCCAAATAAAAATATATAAAAATTATATTTAAATTAATTTTAATGAAATGAGATGAAAATATATATGTAAAGTTAAAGCAATCGAATATTAATTTGATAAATAGAATGATTTGTATAAAGTTGGAGAAAGATTCGTTTATAAATTTTTTTTACAAATTATATTAAGTATGACCGATCATACACTATAAATTATATTAATGTAGTTTATAAAAATTTATTGTTAATAAATTTATAAATATAATCTTCCACTATATATGTAAGTAATGTTACTCACGAAGATAAGGGGACATATATAAACACGGATTGTTGGAAGACATGGCCATTATTCAAAAGTATATTCATAACAAAATTATAGAAATACTTTTAAGTAAAAAAAAGTCTTATTCACTTTTCGTCTTTTCATCGTACATATATATAATATTTTTTAAATTTTAAAATAAATAAAAAATAGTATAATGATAAATTTTAAAATAAAAAAAATAAATAATATAAATTTTATTATACTAAAAAAATTATGCGCCTTTCTATCACATTTTCCGTAGGGGTGTTAACGAGCCGAGCCGAGCTTTGGTCTTAAAAGGCTAAGCATGTGTTTAAATATGTCAGTCTGACCAAGCCTGTTAACTGTTATGAATATAATTTCAGCCTGTTGCCTGTCTTATTTACAAAAAATAAAAGTCTGGTTTAGCCTCTTAGCCTGTTTAAAACAAAATAAGACAACAAAAATCTATCCAAACAAAATATACCGTCCACAGCATTAGTAATTCCATAAATATTTATAAATTTAATGTATATCCAAACAGCATAATATAAAACAAAATCATTCAAAAAGTCTATTTAATTAATAAAATAGGATGAAATGGATATATTAGACTAGCCTGAGAGGCTCTAAGGTCGAGCTTTTAGATTGAAGCCTGAGACCTTTTTATTAAACGAGTTTTTATACAAGTCCAAGCCTTGTTCCAACAATCAATTTTAGACATAAAAGCTCAGGCCTTCACGAGCCGAGCCAAAGGCCCCTGGCTCGTTTAGCACCCCTAATTTTCAGTGCCACAAGAATATTAACTTTTTTATCAAAATAAAATATGGGTGGTCTACCAAAAAAATATATATGGGTGAAAATAATATAAATAATTTATTTTTGATAAAAATATTTCTGTTTTTACTGTTGAAAACTTTTTTTACCAAACTCACATAAAAACAAATGAGTCTCGTTACATTTTATTAATTTTTTTCCCTTATTATTATAATGGAATTCACTCATTTTTATATGAATGCGACAAAAATAAAAAATTTATAACAAAAATAGAAATACTTTTTCTTTTATTTTTACCTATTTAAAAAATAATGTATCAAATCCTTTGTATTCATGTCAGAAGATAAAAGGGAGAAAAACTATGAAGGATTATATGCAGAGTACTATTTGGAAATAGATCCTCTCATGTTTAAAAAAACATGATTGGTCAGGTGGGACAATCATAATCATACAAAGGTAAATCAGCAGTTATGATTTAGTAATTACTTATTTTATTTTTTTTTCTCTCTTCTATTGATCCATTTTTGTATGGTTATGATTGCCCACGTTATCATATCATGTCTTTTTCAACATGAGAGGATCCACTCCTGGTACTACTTTGTAATAAAGGCCCACTTACTATGGATAGTTAAGTTGGCCAATTAATGTGTGTTTCAAATGGCTCCCCTCACCATCTTTCTTTCTTGTTATCTGCATCAACCCAACTCACTTAAATTTATTTTGGCCTCTTATGCATGTCCTCTGGTAAAAAAGTAAAATGAAATGAGACGCTAATATTGAAAGAGAAGAGAAAGAAACAATTCAAGTGATAAAAAAAATTGTTATAATTAGTGATTTTGAATTTATGAATGGAAAATAGAGAAAATGATTTTGAGAGGATTTTTTTATGATTCTAACAAAGCCCAAACTACATTAATCAAATAATTAATGAACCGATAAATTTTTTTGAAGAAAGAGTCCAAGTCTTAAAAACATTGATGAGTTAGTTCATTCATCTTGCATCTTCTTATATATATGCAAGTTGTGTGTATGCTTGGGGTGGCAATTCAGGTCGACACGATATGATATGAATTCGACACGAATACTAATACATTCAACACGAACATGACACA